ACAAGAAGCTCACTCCAAACCTCCTTTATATCACTGACCAGCATGAACAGAAAAAATCTGACCAACTCAGCCAACACGATTGAAACCCAGAAGCTCCCCATATAATTGATCGGAGACTCTAAGACATATATTAAGTTTCACATGGCACGTGACCAATGGATCAGCGGTGGATAAGGGGTGCTCTCATCTAGCGTTAAGCCAGGCAGCCTCTCAAAAAACAGTCTTTAGTGCCAAATACCTTGATACAGCGACTTCCAACAAAGACCTTGCTATGTGGCACTAGTTTTCTTTTAAGTTCCATTCAATGTGAGATCATTTACCTAAAATTCTAAACAGCTCTTTCTTTTAGTACAATATACCATTTGGCACAAAAAAATCAAACTATGGCATGGCCATTTCAAGGCTGTAATCAGACACGTTAGCTACTTTTCCAAGTTTAGAGTTTTCTTATACACATTGACACTTACTACTTTAATTCTTTCAATAAAGAACATTGAAACTCTAGATGCTGAATTGACTCATAACTGAGGCACAGAAGCCTCAATCATTAGTGACCCCAACTCTCAGAAGCAACCACCAATCAAGATTTCCAAACCAGTTTTACAATTGGTCGATGGCAAGTGACGTCATGGCAGCCACGTTGTTGGTCAAGAATAAAAGCATTTTCCTCCTCTGGAAACGAAACTCTATTTTCATGTAAATTCTTTGAGAAAATATTCTATCGTTTTGAACCCCAATATGGCCGCCTTGTCACATGGTTGCAAACCAAGAATAAAAGAGCGCCAGAATCAACTTTCAAAAGCTTAAACTCAGAGCTGCGGTCCATGAGAGTATAGACCATTGAATTGACAGGATGATAGTAGTACAATTTGTTTTTTTCTTTCCCTTGTGCACAATTTCCTATGAAACTTCAGCAGAAATGGCTCTCAAAGACTGTCAATGTTCTTGTGAAAAAAATTGACAACAATTTCCCGCAGTCTATAATCTTGTGGCCAAAGAAATGACATCAAAATGTTAAAAACTTTGTGGCAAAACCACTCTCTTAATATTTTAACATTTTGTTGTCATTAATTTCAAAGCTAAATTAAAATAACAGTATAGAATTCATGTAGACAATAGAAAATTATTTTCAATTTGTTAATTTCCCAGTACAAACACCATAGATGGAACCTCTCATAGGCAACCATCTCTGATAAGCCAGTGCCAAATTAGGCTAGTAGCTTCAAGAGGTTCATTAAATATTTAGCCAAGTGTTGATTTTATATTGAAATCTGAAAAAATACAAACTTCTATTAACTCTTCCCAAGTTCAGAACAAGAAGAGTCTACCATTACAAGTTCAGTCATCAGTAATTTGGATAAGGCTGTTGCTGTTGATAGTTATAATACTGGTTATAAGCTGCTTGCTGTGGATACTGCTGGTTGCTAGGATACCCTTGAGCGCCACCATAACCACTCTGTGCCGCAGGTTGCTGTTGAGCCTGAGCTTGTGGTTGTGTCTGTTGCTGTGCATAACCACCTTGATACTGCATCTGCGACTGTCCTGTACTGGAGTATGGTGTTACCCCAGCTGCTGAATAGCTCTGGCTTTGTGGTGTGTAGCCTGGCTGACTGGTCTGACTGTAAGACTGCTGGCTGGTGGGATATGCAGCTGCTGTGCTGCCACCTGGGTACCCAGACTGTGTCTGGGTTGACGTCGGGGCATAAGATTGTGCTGGAGCTTGACTAGGTTGGGTGCCCTGTGGGGGATACTGAGGTTGCTGTGTGTATGACGTCCCTGCAGGTACTTTGCTTGAAGGGGCTGATGGTGCAATGCTCTGTTGAAGTGGAAGCTGCATTGACTGTGATGGGGAGGTTGAACTTGGATATCCTTGGGAACTAAGATCTCCTTGAGGCTTTACACCTGCAATAAAAAAAAANGTCTATAATCTTGTGGCCAAAGAAATGACATCAAAATGTTAAAAACTTTGTGGCAAAACCACTCTCTTAATATTTTAACATTTTGTTGTCATTAATTTCAAAGCTAAATTAAAATAACAGTATAGAATTCATGTAGACAATAGAAAATTATTTTCAATTTGTTAATTTCCCAGTACAAACACCATAGATGGAACCTCTCATAGGCAACCATCTCTGATAAGCCAGTGCCAAATTAGGCTAGTAGCTTCAAGAGGTTCATTAAATATTTAGCCAAGTGTTGATTTTATATTGAAATCTGAAAAAATACAAACTTCTATTAACTCTTCCCAAGTTCAGAACAAGAAGAGTCTACCATTACAAGTTCAGTCATCAGTAATTTGGATAAGGCTGTTGCTGTTGATAGTTATAATACTGGTTATAAGCTGCTTGCTGTGGATACTGCTGGTTGCTAGGATACCCTTGAGCGCCACCATAACCACTCTGTGCCGCAGGTTGCTGTTGAGCCTGAGCTTGTGGTTGTGTCTGTTGCTGTGCATAACCACTTTGATACTGCATCTGCGACTGTCCTGTACTGGAGTATGGTGTTACCCCAGCTGCTGAATAGCTCTGGCTTTGTGGTGTGTAGCCTGGCTGACTGGTCTGACTGTAAGACTGCTGGCTGGTGGGATATGCAGCTGCTGTGCTGCCACCTGGGTACCCAGACTGTGTCTGGGTTGACGTCGGGGCATAAGATTGTGCTGGAGCTTGACTAGGTTGGGTGCCCTGTGGGGGATACTGAGGTTGCTGTGTGTATGACGTCCCTGCAGGTACTTTGCTTGAAGGGGCTGATGGTGCAATGCTCTGTTGAAGTGGAAGCTGCATTGACTGTGATGGGGAGGTTGAACTTGGATATCCTTGGGAACTAAGATCTCCTTGAGGCTTTACACCTGCAATAAAAAAAAACAATATTAAAGTTTACACACTATTATAGACCTTTCTGTTTCAGAGTGTGAGATGAGAGTAAAACTAACTGTGAGATAAACCAGACTGAAAAAGTACATGTGCATGTATATCATCATACCATTATTCTGGCACAGAGACAAATAATAAATTATTTCCTTGACAACACTTAATACTGCCAATACTTTGATGAGTCCCACTGTTATCCTTAGATACATCATTAAAACAACATCAATGTTAAACTTATTAAAAGCCAGTCTAAGAAAGGTTACCCTTCCCAAAGTTACAATCTCTTACACCACATGGCCACGGCTGGAAGCAGAGATCTTAGAATACTTTTTTTCTCTGCCAATAAGGCAAGACATGGGTGTACAGAGAAGTTTTGCTTGAATGTTACCATGCTTTTCAATGATATGCGAACACAAAAGATCAAAAGCAAACTAACATTATCTTTCACAGTCATCAATCAACTTATCAGACCTCTCAGAAACAGAACTTCACTTCAATGAGTTCAAATGTTCATGGCTTGTGATTTGTGATCGTTGGATTTCAATCCATTCTGTGTGTTTCTTTGTGTCAGGGTCCACTGCTTGTGATGGCAATATTATGACTGACAGCGGTGAAAAAGACAAAATTTACATGTAATAGCCAGCTCAGAATAAATAATTATTATTTATTGTGAGCTGGCTATTACAAGTAAATTTTAGAGTTTGCATGTTATCAAAAAGTGCAGTAAAAGGCTTCACCTGCATCGGTACTTGGGTACAATTGCTGTGGTACAGTCCCTGTAGAGCTGTCTGCCTGCTGTTTATCTGGAGCAAGGGGATCAAACATGGTCACCTCTGGGGTAGGCTTGAGAGGCGGTACATGGGCAGAAGGTAATCTCTCTTGAGAAGAAACTAAAACATTTGACAATTAAAGTATGAGTGAATAAGGTACTTGAAGTGACTACTAATAAAACATAAAACAGATCCCTTGAATTTGAAAGCATAAATAAGGCAAATTGAAAGGAGAGTTTAGCAGTTAATCAGGTTACTAATTAAGGTACTCCTTCAATTTTACACTATGTACAGCTGTACATACTACAGATGTACCTGTTGTTAGGTGAATTTGAGGTCTGTACTGTAAATTACAGAACAAGTTTTTTTTATTGATTTATGGCCCAAGTGCGAAGTGCACTGTTATGATTTCAACTGGACCAAGTGAAACAAATAAGTTATACTTTAATCAGTGGGATATTAAGAATCCATCATTGAAAAGGATCATCAATTTGGATAAATTAATAACCCCTCTCTGAATTTTGAAAAAGAAACGACATTTCCGGCGTTTTTCAATTAAAAATCCGGATTTAGATTTCAAACAAGAAGCTCACCCCAAACCTCCTTTATATCACCAGAATGAACCAAAAAAACTCTGACCAACTCAGCTAACACGAATGAAGCCCAGACGCTCCTTGTATAATTGATCGGAGACTCCAGGACATATATTAAGTTCTCACTTCGCACGTGACCAATGGATCAGCGGTAGATAAGGGGTGTTCTCATCTAGCGCTAAGCCAGGAAGCCTCTAAGAAAACAGTCTTAAGTGACAAATACATGTATCTTGATACAGCGACTTCCAACAAAGACTTTGTTATGTGGCACTAGTTTTCTTTTAAGTTCCATTCAATGTGAGATCATTTACCTAAAATTCTAAACAGCTCTTCCTTCTAGTACAATATACCATTTGGCACAAAAAAAATCAAACTATGGCATGGCCATTTCAAGGCTGCAATCAGACAACTTAGCTACTTTTCCAAGTTTAGAGTTTTCTTATAAACATCGACACCTACTACGTTAATTCTTTCAATAAGAACATTGAAACTCTAGATGCTGAATTGACTCATAACTGAGGCACAGAAGCCTCAATCATTAGGGACCCCAACTCTCAGAAGCAACCACCGATCAACATTTCCAAACCTGTTTTACAATTGGTCGATGGCAAGTGACGTCATGGCAGCCACGTTGTTGGTCAAGAACAAAAGCATTTTCCTCTCTGGAAACGAAACTCTATTTTCATGTATATTCTTTGAGAAAATATTCTATCGTTTCGAACCCCAACATGGCCGCCTTGTCACATGGTTGCAAACCAAGAATAAAAGAGCGCCAGAATCAACTTTCAAAAGCTTAAACTCAGAGCTGCGGTCCATGAGACTATAGACCATTGAATTGACAGGATGATAGTAGTACGATTTGTTTTTTTCTTTCCCTTGTGCACAACTTCCTATGAAACTTCAGCAGAAATGGCTCTCAAAGACTGTCAATGTTCTTGTAAAAAAAATTGACAACAATTTCCCACGTTCTATAATCTTGTGGCCAAAGAAATGACATCAAAATGTTAAAAACTTTGTGGCAAAACCACTCTCTTAATATTTTAACATTTTGTTTTCATTAATTTCAAAGCTAAATTAAAATAACAGTATAGAATTCATGTAGACAATAGAAAATTGTTTTCAATTTGTTTATTTCCCAGTACAAACACCATAGATGGAACCTCTCATAGGCAACCATCTCTGATAAGCAAGTGCCAAATTAGGCTAGTAGCTTCAAGAGGTTCATTAAATATTTAGCCAAAGTGTTGATTTTATATTGAAATCTGAAAAAATACAAACTTCTATTAACTCTTCCCAAGTTCAGAACAAGAAGAGTCTACCATTACAAGTTCAGTCATCAGTAATTTGGATAAGGCTGTTGCTGTTGATAGTTATAATACTGGTTATAAGCTGCTTGCTGTGGATACTGCTGGTTGCTAGGATACCCTTGAGCGCCACCATAACCACTCTGTGCCGCAGGTTGCTGTTGAGCCTGAGCTTGTGGTTGTGTCTGTTGCTGTGCATAACCACCTTGATACTGCATCTGCGACTGTCCTGTACTGGAGTATGGTGTTACCCCAGCTGCTGAATAGCTCTGGCTTTGTGGTGTGTAGCCTGGCTGACTGGTCTGACTGTAAGACTGCTGGCTGGTGGGATATGCAGCTGCTGTGCTGCCACCTGGGTACCCAGACTGTGTCTGGGTTGACGTCGGGGCATAAGATTGTGCTGGAGCTTGACTAGGTTGGGTGCCCTGTGGGGGATACTGAGGTTGCTGTGTGTATGACGTCCCTGCAGGTACTTTGCTTGAAGGGGCTGATGGTGCAATGCTCTGTTGAAGTGGAAGCTGCATTGACTGTGATGGGGAGGTTGAACTTGGATATCCTTGGGAACTAAGATCTCCTTGAGGCTTTACACCTGCAATAAAAAAAAACAATATTAAAGTTTACACACTATTATAGACCTTTCTGTTTCAGAGTGTGAGATGAGAGTAAAACTAACTGTGAGATAAACCAGACTGAAAAAGTACATGTGCATGTATATCATCATACCATTATTCTGGCACAGAGACAAATAATAAATTATTTCCTTGACAACACTTAATACTGCCAATACTTTGATGAGTCCCACTGTTATCCTTAGATACATCATTAAAACAACATCAATGTTAAACTTATTAAAAGCCAGTCTAAGAAAGGTTACCCTTCCCAAAGTTACAATCTCTTACACCACATGGCCACGGCTGGAAGCAGAGATCTTAGAATACTTTTTTTCTCTGCCAATAAGGCAAGACATGGGTGTACAGAGAAGTTTTGCTTGAATGTTACCATGCTTTTCAATGATATGCGAACACAAAAGATCAAAAGCAAACTAACATTATCTTTCACAGTCATCAATCAACTTATCAGACCTCTCAGAAACAGAACTTCACTTCAATGAGTTCAAATGTTCATGGCTTGTGATTTGTGATCGTTGGATTTCAATCCATTCTGTGTGTTTCTTTGTGTCAGGGTCCACTGCTTGTGATGGCAATATTATGACTGACAGCGGTGAAAAAGACAAAATTTACATGTAATAGCCAGCTCAGAATAAATAATTATTATTTATTGTGAGCTGGCTATTACAAGTAAATTTTAGAGTTTGCATGTTATCAAAAAGTGCAGTAAAAGGCTTCACCTGCATCGGTACTTGGGTACAATTGCTGTGGTACAGTCCCTGTAGAGCTGTCTGCCTGCTGTTTATCTGTAGCAAGGGGATCAAACATGGTCACCTCTGGGGTAGGCTTGAGAGGCGGTACATGGGCAGAAGGTAATCGCTCTTGTGAAGAAACTAAAACATTTGACAATTAAAGTATGAGTGAATAAGGCTTGAAGTGACTACTAATAAAACATAAAATAGATCCCTTGAATTTGAAAGCATAAATAAGGCAAATTGAAAGGAGAGTTTAGCAGTTAATCAGGTTACTAATTAAGGTACTCCTTCAATTTTACACTATGTACAGCTGTACATACTACAGATGTACCTGTTGTTAGGTGAATTTGAGGTCTGTACTGTAAATTACAGAACAAGTTTTTTTTATTGATTTATGGCCCAAGTGCGAAGTGCACAGGCTATAAATAGATCATAAATCGATACAGTAAGTTATGGACTGCAAATTGAGCAATCACAGGGCAAACAAGCTTAGCTATAAAATAAATGTATTTCAACACCTGCAGGTTGCATTTTTATTCATAACATTACATTTCATAATATGACACTTCAAAATATTTCCCCTTTTCTGATTGGCTGCAAATCCCCAGCCAATTCTTCACAAATAATCTTTTTTTTACAGTGTTCAACTCTTGGGTGGGGCGGGGGGGGGGATGTTTACACGATACAGGGGCAACTTCCCTGCCAGTGCAAGTTTACACTGTACCCTAGTTCCCTTTCATGGCTCTACATGTACATTTGTTTGTAAATGATAAAATAATAATAATACCAGTAATTTAATAATAATAATAATTGTTATTATTATAAGTTTGTCATACTGGAATGAGTAAAACTGGTTCGAGTTCACCCCAGTTGTTCCTCTGGGGTTAGAATCATTTTCTTCCCAGTGCAAAATCTTGCAAAGTTGTTCATGTAAATGAAGAACAACCACTCATTTCAGTGTGAAATTAGCATTCCAGAATGGAATGGTTTGAGGAATATTTTTGCATGCACCAACTCCACTCCCATTTCACAAGACAATGTGATCAGCTACGGCTGCCTCTGGCCAAAACCACCATGTACCAGGACAGTTTTGGCATTAACGCAACCCTCCAAGTTGTGAACATTTTAGTCACCATGACGCCTTAAATTTTGGAACTGTATACCTGCCAACTCTCACGCCTTAGGCGTGAGTCTCACACCTGCGGGTTGAAAACTTCGATCTCACGCCCGCTCACGCTTGCGGGCCAGTTTGTTGCCGTCTTGCTTGACACAATTTCCAAATATATGTTAACTCAGTCCCATGTAAGGAACGAAAACCATGTGTAAAATGAATAAATGACAATACCTTCCTCGCGATCTCTGATTTTTGAAGTGAAAAGCACTGGGAGCGAGCTCGCCTTCGGCAGACTTCGGCAGACTACGGACTTCTTCGGGAATCTTCGGAAATGATCGTGTCGTCTTCAAAAATCCCAGCACTCCCAGGATAAAAATCTCACGCTTATATCTCAGAAAAAGTTGGCAGGTATAGAACTGGCGACTTGATTTGGAAAGTAGTCACCAAGTTGGCGACCGTGAAGAATAGGTTCACGTAAAGAAACAAAAATGGTCATTACTTCTGCCAAAATATGAAGAACATTTATTCTAGCTGATTTGATTACTATTACTTTTTTACTTTTCCGTTGAAACATGCTAAATTGAGAACTTAAAACAGTTTCAGAGCCAAGCATTTTGAAATGTACATCATTGAAACTTGACCTGCATTCGTTCACCTTGCACGTGGCATTTTAACCTTCTGCCACGTGACAATTAGCGCACAATCGAAGTGCCTTACTTGTTGACAGTGTCGATTTTTTCAATATCTTAGGAATGCTTGTCTGGCCAAGCTTGGTGGTTTTTTAACTGGACTACATACTTAAAATGTTTTTGAATCCATAAACAATCTAATGACAAAAAAGGGAAAGCTTAACTGGTGCATTAAAGACAACACAGGAAATTGTGTAATAACAGTAGTAGTAACAGTTGACTTGATTTAAAACAGAACAAAACAACGGCGCCATTCTCATCCAGATACGAACAACAAAATTTTTGAACATGGGGAGCCCGTAAAACTGCAGGGGTAGCTAGAGCCCAGACTCTGAACTTTCAGGTTTTGGTATTAACGACAGGTATGATTTTGCAAGATTGTACAAGTTCATTTGTCGCCCACAAAAAACTTGAAAATGTGAGCGAAGAAAATGAAAAGAAACTTATTCACTGTCCTAAGAAAAGTCTAATTTTCCCGGACTTTCAAGGACCAACACATATTTTCCAGGTTTTCCAGGCCTGGATTTTGAAATTTTAAATTTTCATGACTTTCTAGGTTTTCCAGGACCCGTACAAACCCTAAGTAAATCACCTCAAATAACATCAAGATTGGGAAAAATTAATGTTTAATTAGTATAAGTAATAGCATGATTTGTAGTGATATTTGGCATAAATACCACGAGTGATATTTCGAAATTGTTATACGTAATTTCACGAGCCGTTAGGCGAGTGAAATTTGAGACAATTTTGAAATATCACGAGGGGTATTTATGCCAAATATCACGTACAAATCATGCTATTACTTGTTTATATTACTACCCACAAAAGGTTTGTAATTTTCACATGTAGGTATTTCAAATTAAGCTGAAATACCACTGCTCTAAGCCAATCAAATTGCAGTAATTTTTCATGTAGTAGTATACAAGTTGGAATTCATAGTTTACTTTACTTGAATTTAGCATTTTTTTTACGAATTATGTAATTTTCCTCAAATTGTGCGATCAGATGCGATTTGAGGTCAGTTGTGCAAAATCACACCATCGCATAATATCAGATGGCCTGCCCAGTGCAACTCATTGCAAGATTTTCTTGTGCGCATTGTTGTCTGTGTTTAAGCAATAAATTGATTTAAGACTTGTTGATCTTCGTATACTCCCCTGCGTTTGTGAGGCTTTTGCAATGTCTAGTGAAATCAAAAACAACCTTTTAAATTGCCAAAAATATACAAGTCCATCATCAACAAAAGTCGTAGAAGAAATGCAAAACAAATATCAGGAAAAAATAGATCAACCTTCCAGTTGCAACTGGGAAGTTTTGAACACATTAACAGAGGATGAGTGAAGTTCTGGTTTCATATACCAACTGAGGATTATACACTCAGAAGGATTGAAAGCCCTAAAGACAACTGGAAATGGTAATTGTCTTTACAATTCCGCTTCAGTATTGAATCAAGGAGATGAATCTGCAAACCTTGTTCTCAGACTATCAGTAAAGAATGCCTTGCACAATAAATGAGTAATTTGTAAACAGTCCTGGCAGCATTTTAAGTGAAACTTGCTAACTGCTTTTGTTAATGACAGTTTTTGATATATTAATTTATTAATATAATTTGGTGCCTAAAATTTCCCCTGGTGACTAAACCCAAAGAGTTGGTCACAAAATGGCCACTAAACAAAAATTTTAACTTGGAGGGTTGTAATAGTGCGCTGGCCTACAATTCCCTCCCCTCCAATAGTAGAGCCATTAAAGACTTCAATAAATTGTGAAAAAGTATTTCAAGTCCCAGGCAGCTTTCCCTTAAATCCTTCCATCGTCGTATGCTTACTCACTTTTAGTGTACTACTCTCTTTTCATAATTGTTTTGTATTAATTAGATAATGGCATTTTTATCGATTAGTGGTAATTAATGATAGTGGTTTTTTCTTTTTACACAGGACTCTGTTTAACTTAGCTATGCTAAACCAGATGCTCCTGTATAAATAAATAAATATGTAATTTTTATCAGTACACAATGATGTCACCATGTTGAAAAAAAATCATTCAAACATCCTTACATATTATGCTATCATCATTATTAACAGGAAACAAACCTTGTACATTTCTCTTTTCTACTGGCTGTTGTTGTTCCCCCTTGGGTGATTCACTGTCATCACTAGTGTCCAGTCTATTCAGTAAGTAGTTCACTCTGTCTCTAAGCTGTGTTAATTCTCTCCTAAATTCTGCAACAAGCGTATGCTCAGGGGGTCTTGGAATTCCATTAACTGAGTAAAACAATAAATGCATAACATAAATGTAAGAACTTCTAATAAATGAGGGAGACACACAAACAAATCAACCCTTTAAGCCCCAATATCCACATATAAATTCTCCATACTGATCTTCATACATTTCTTTAAAGAATTAGTTGAGAGAGTTTGATAACATATCAAAGCATTTTCTCTTTACCGATCATTTTATTAACTCTCATAACCATTTCTCTTGGCAACACATGGATATTGTTAGGAGAAAATTGATGTTGGTCACTATTGGGACTTAAAGGGTTAATGGCACAGAGACAAAGAAAATAATGTTGTTTTTCCAAGTGGATGTAAATTCCCTGCCAGCAGAGATCTCTTTTCCATGGTATTTGGCAAGCTCTTTTCCTCCTGCCTGCAAATACTAGTGATCGCCCAGGGCACAGTTGTTGGAAGGCCGATTAGCGCTTAACCCAGGGTTAAATTTAACCCGAGTTTCTTTTTATTGTGTTCAAAAGCATTTTCTCGGATAATTTTCTACGTTATTTTTAGAGCTCCCAATCATCAAATTGTAGACAAAAAGAATTAAAGACTGAAATGCTTTTCAATCCTTCAAATCTGAATTCAAATCTTGCAGTAACCCTGGGTTATTTTAACCCAGCTTTGAACAACCCGGCCCAAGTGAACATAGTCCTTAATAGGACTGTTGTTGACAGTGACTGACGTTTTGATAACCTGTGCAGTAGTCATCTTCAGAGTCAAAGTGAGCTGTAAACTAACTATGAGAGAATGATTGGACAACAGACAATATTAATTTGATTGACAATAAACAACTGTTTAACTGTGACAATAGACAGATTGAAACGCACAAATGACATTACGAGTCATCATACATGTAGCCAATAAAGTCATGGCCTAACTGACAAACCACTAACAACATCTCATCTTAATTGACCAATCAGGTCAATAACTGGACTTTCATATGAAAGAAAGATCTTCTTCGCCTGTCTGTTTAGCCTGTGGGTTGAAGGTGCATGTGTGAGAACAGTAATGTTAAAGGAATGATAATCGGTCAGTATGAAACATGGACTGCTGACTGTGAACTACAGACTGCGGACTGGGAATAAAATACGGACTAGGTATAAAACGCGGACTGTGGACTGTGGACTGGGTATAAAATATGGACTATGGACTACGTTGGTAAAAACGGTGCTCATTGCTCTAGGTAAAAATAAGGCCAAAAGATTGCTAAATAGCAAGACACATGGGTTTAAGTTATAAGTACTCTTAGAAATTCTTGGTGGAGGTGTGCTGCCCAGTTCTCTGAATCATGCGCCTGACATCAAAATCGCTATTTTCTACACCCATTTTTAGACCTGGTCTCGGTCTATAACAATCATGAAAGGGGTTAGGACCCGGGGAGGGGGGTACTCCCTTATATAAGCCCTATAGGTATGTGCCCCCACGAAGTGTAGGGTTTTCTGGGTCTTTTTGGTCTGAAAACACTGGAATTGGGCATGGGTTTCGAGTAAACTACGGGAGCGTACATCAGTATAAACGTATATATCGTTTCAATTCCAAATGAATACAAATAAAATAGAAATATGCAAATTCAAAATGCATTTGAAGAATTTTTTTGTTTGCACTCTGATCTGCTAATGATGAAATAATTTCGGCCCGTGGACCACATAGGAGAGACGTAACACACATTTTAAGTAAGGTAAGCTGTTTTTTATTGAAATCCTTTCATTTTCGTAGGTTGCAGAAACGGTAGGTTTGTTTCCCATACAAATCCTTATATTTTGAAAGGTACGCAACAATGACGATGCTCGCCGATGCTCATATTTCAAGCTTGGGATACCTGTGGTTTAATTGTTAAATAAGAAGGCAACTCACCAAATAATGTTATCTTCAACATCCTACTGACAGTTTTTGCAAAACCAAGATCGGAGCTATCGAAAATTGTAACGAGATCCCCATCTACAATAAGTCAAGACAAGTGTCACGTTCATTGTTTCATTTAGAATCATCATTGTCCACAAGCTGTTGTGAATCACTTTCGTCTCATTTCTAACAAGCCACAAATAAACTAATACTTACCTTCGTCTTTATATTTAATTGTAATATCATCTGTACTACTGAGTTTGCCTCTGAAAACGCGCTGCATCATCAAGAGCAAATCATCGTACGTCAAATCTTCGTTGTGGATCGGAATGCATCTTATATCGTCACCAAGACGAGCTTTAATGATCAGTGCTCCGCTAAGATCCACGTTACCGCTCACANTGTATACATGTACGTTTTCGCATAGTTTTTATGTAGCTAGGCTTCCCGTTTGGTACATAAAATTATCGGGCGCCGGAGTCATTCTTCGCTCTCACAAGTTTCATAATCATTTACTCTGTCTTTTGCGGTTTTGTACCCTTAAACTATCTTCTCCAAGAACAATTCCTCTTCATCCTTTACTTCAAAACATGGGCAACCTGTATATATGAAATAAGCGATGAAAAATAAGATGCACAAAACATCGGATCCAGATGTAAGAGGTTGAATGGCTCTCGAAAACATGACGTCACACTTTTCCACTATGTTGGAACCGGTCGCGTCAGCCAGTTTCCTATCCAGTCTTTCTATTATCCATGTTGACAGTGACTGACGTTTTGATAACCTGTGCAGTAGTCATCTTCAGAGTCAAAGTAAGCTGTAAACTAACTATGAGAGAATGATTGGACAACAGACAATATTAATTTGATTGACAATAAACAACTGTTTAACTGTGACAATAGACAGATTGAAACGCACAAATGACATTACGAGTCATCATACATGTAGCCAATAAAGTCATGGCCTAACTGACAAACCACTAACAACATCTCATCTTAATTGACCAATCAGGTCAATAACTGGACTTTCATATGAAAGAAAGATCTTCTTCGCCTGTCTGTTTAGCCTGTGGGTTGAAGGTGCATGTGTGAGAACAGTAATGTTAAAGGAATGATAATCGGTCAGTATGAAACATGGACTGCTGACTGTGAACTACAGACTGCGGACTGGGAATAAAATACGGACTAGGTATAAAACGCAGACTGTGGACTGTGGACTGGGTATAAAATATGGACTATGGACTACGTTGGTAAAAACGGTGCTCATTGCTCTAGGTAAAAATAAGGCCAAAAGATTGCTAAATAGCAAGACACATGGGTTTAAGTTATAAGTACTCTTAGAAATTCTTGGTGGAGGTGTGCTGCCCAGTTCTCTGAATCATGCGCCTGACATCAAAATCGCTATTTTCTACACCCATTTTTAGACCTGGTCTCGGTCTATAACAATCATGAAAGGGGTTAGGACCCGGGGAGGGGGGTACTCCCTTATATAAGCCCTATAGGTATGTGCCCCCACGAAGTGTAGGGTTTTCTGGGTCTTTTTGGTCTGAAAACACTGGAATTGGGCATGGGTTTCGAGTAAACTACGGGAGCGTACATCAGTATAAACGTATATATCGTTTCAATTCCAAATGAATACAAATAAAATAGAAATATGCAAATTCAAAATGCATTTGAAGAATTTTTTTGTTTGCACTCTGATCTGCTAATGATGAAATAATTTCGGCCCGTGGACCACATAGGAGAGACGTAACACACATTTTAAGTAAGGTAAGCTGTTTTTTATTGAAATCCTTTCATTTTCGTAGGTTGCAGAAACGGTAGGTTTGTTTCCCATACAAATCCTTATATTTTGAAAGGTACGCAACAATGACGATGCTCGCCGATGCTCATATTTCAAGCTTGGGATACCTGTGGTTTAATTGTTAAATAAGAAGGCAACTCACCAAATAATGTTATCTTCAACATCCTACTGACAGTTTTTGCAAAACCAAGATCGGAGCTATCGAAAATTGTAACGAGATCCCCATCTACAATAAGTCAAGACAAGTGTCACGTTCATTGTTTCATTTAGAATCATCATTGTCCACAAGCTGTTGTGAATCACTTTCGTCTCATTTCTAACAAGCCACAAATAAACTAATACTTACCTTCGTCTTTATATTTAATTGTAATATCATCTGTACTACTGAGTTTGCCTCTGAAAACGCGCTGCATCATCAAGAGCAAATCATCGTACGTCAAATCTTCGTTGTGGATCGGAATGCATCTTATATCGTCACCAAGACGAGCTTTAATGATCAGTGCTCCGCTAAGATCCACGTTACCGCTCACAAAATTCACTCCTCTGTTTCCAGCCACACCTATACTAAACGTATCTGGAGTGTAGTTCATTTTAAGATACAGAAAACCCGATCTAGACCATTCACAACTCTAGATTTCCTTGGAATCTTTCCTTCTACAACGTTTCTTCTTCCAGTGAATGACCTCATTCGTTTCCAGTCTTTCTTGAAAGTATCGCTCGCTCTAGTGCTCAGCTCTCTTTATAAATGCTCACATTTCGCGCGCGAACAAAGCCTGGTCATTTTCTATGTTCATTGGGGTTGCTATCACGCAGAATTGATGTTTCGGCGAATTAATTCTTTTAAAAGTAGCATTGTGGTCCCTTTTGTGGCTGCCTTTGGCAGGAGACATTACAAGAAAAAGTCATGGAAGGTACATGTAAAGCTGAAACTGATTACCGACAGTCGACCGACCGACAGACTGTGTTTACACTCTCAAATTCGCGAGATTTCTTGGATTTCTTATTTTAGGAAAAAACAACTCATAAAATAAGATTTTCGTTCTCGTAAAGTCAAACTGCCTGTTTAAATTAAGGAAACAAGAGTTGTTATCCTATGATTTGTTTTAATTCTCGTAAAATAAGAAAACGTTTTCTTAAATTGAGAGATCGGAGCAATCTCGAATTTAGAGTGATTTAGGGAGCTGTTCGTCACTTTAATTTTTCCAGCTAGTCATCTCGCCGAAAGTTATGTCTCCCGAAACCAGAGTTATGTTGCCCGAAATTTCATCAAGAGCGTAAGCAGTAAGTTCTTCTAGCGAAGATGAGACTAAACAAACGGGATTAATGTGTAACATATCTCCTTCTTTAAGCTTTGATGAGACAAATTGATGAAACGAAATAATCAGGATAAATTTGTAATATAATTTTCGTTCTTTAAGGACTGATGAAACAAGACAAGCATGATAAAAAGTTGTTACGACGTTGTTCAGCATCATAAAATTATTTTTTGGGGACCTTACTCTGATTTCAGGCAATATAAAGAGAGATGAGATGACTTTCGGGCAACATGACCGTAAACCATTTATATAAGCATGTTAAAGATTTAGGCCCTGTTTACAAAGAGGGAGGGTAACCCTGGTGTGAATGAATGAATGAACACTTTATATAATTAATTTCAATAGGGTGCATAATTACAGACCAACTGTACTCTCCCTTTAAACTACTAAAATTTCAAAAAAATCCTTAAAAACTAGAATACTAAGGTAAGAAATAATTCGAATATCAAAATTTACTCAAATTTACACATGGATAAAAAAAAACAGGCGTAAATTTACAAATGACTGAATCAAAGAAATTTCTTTTGAACTTCTTTACATCAGAAGAGCAGACTAAAGCATTTTCACTGACATTGTTCAACTCAGGCCATCTGATATTACGCAATGGTGCGATTTTGCACAATTGACCTCAAATCACATCTGATTGCACAATTTGAGGAAAATCGTAAAAAAATGCTAAATTCAAGGAAAGTAAACAATGAATTCTTACTTTAATTAAACATTTTCCCAATCTTAATGTTAGTTAATTTACCACTAAAGAAAGCCTTGCAAGGCATCTGAAACCTTCGATCGCGGTATCTGGGCAGCTATTTTGATTTCAGAGACAAGCAGTGTGGTCAACTGTGTAATGGCATCATGTAATATTAAGCAAGTGTCCTTTTTATTTTCCAGTTCAAAATAATCAGACAAATTTAACTATTTTGTTTTAAAATTCAAATTGCCTGTTAAACAACATTTAGGTGGTTTTTTTCCTTTGAAACCTGGTAAAACAATGTAAATTAGCCCTAAAAAAATTGCATAATTTATAATGGTAATTGAACTGAGTGGAGTGCAATTTGGTCTGAAATCATACGCGTGATTTCAAAATCGAACGAGCACGCAGCGCGAGTTCGATTTGAAATCACAAGTATGATTTCAGACCAAAATTGCACTCCACTCAGTTCAATTACCACTTTATTACTTCCATTTTGAAATCGCAGAATTTAGTCAGTACTAATATTTTATTGATGAAGTAGCCGGTTTGTTAAAAAGCGGAAACAAAAAGGCTTTTACCTCTCATTTCGTATTCCAAACAGAAATGATGCGATATAGAACAAAAATAGTGCAATTTAAAACAGAAATGATGCAATTTAGAACATGAATGACGCGATTTGGAAAAGATGCGATTTAGAGCAAAAAATGGTGCGATTTAGGAATAAATCACACCNTTCAAAATCGAACGAGCACGCAGCGCGAGTTCGATTTGAAATCACAAGTATGATTTCAGACCAAAATTGCACTCCACTCAGTTCAATTACCACTTTATTACTTCCATTTTGAAATCGCAGAATTTAGTCAGTACTAATATTTTATTGATGAAGTAGCCGATTTGTTAAAAAGCGGAAACAAAAAGGCTTTTACATCTCATTTCGTATTCCAAACAGAAATGATGCGATATAGAACAAAAATAGTGCAATTTAAAACAGAAATGATGCAATTTAGAACATGAATGACGCGATTTGGAAAAGATGCGATTTAGAGCAAAAAATGGTGCGATTTAGGAATAAATCACACCGCTGAGTGCCAATCGGATTGCATGGATAGCCAGTGATTTCAAAGTGGATGTAATAAATTGCATAATAGTCCTATCTTATCGCACAATCTACCCTGAAAATATTGCACAATTTCTGATTTTTTATTGCACCCTATCAGATGGCCTGTCAACCGTTTAACTGCATTGTAAAAGAACATCCACTTGCACTTGGAATAGGAAGCCGATAAGGCAACCGAGATGTTGTGTCATGAGACTTGCAGTATTTTAAAGATAACAGTGTTAGGGTTACCCTAGCAAGAGGGTTACCCTAGCACTCGCATATTTCTTCTTTTTTCACACAACGTGGTTACAAGGCAGGTAGGGATACCCTAGTGCTAGGGCTACCCTGGCAAGAGGGTACCCTGCCTGCCTTGAAAACGCTCAGCTAGGGATAAGTCACCTACCCGAGTCAACTTTTCGTCGTCATGCGTGACCAGTAGTTATGCCAATTTGAATGGTATTATCCAATTACTGAGCATAATTATAAACGTCTGAAAATTAAAAAGTTATTTCCTGTCTATAATGATAATATTTTAATTAATGTCTTTTTCACAGAGAACTTCAAGGTTATTTTAAATTTTGAACCTTTTTAAAGAATGTCACGCATGAGGAAACATGTCAGCAAAGCTGGTAAAATTGACCCAGGTGATAGGGTAACCTTACCTGTGAAATTTGCTTGTAAACCAGAGCTAACTTCAACCTGCTTGCTAGGGTAACCCTAGCACAAGGGTAACCCTCTCTCCTTGTAAACAGGCCCTAAGAGCAAGCCTCCAACTCCTGACAAACCAGTTGGAACACATTGTCAATTTCCCCTGCCATCCCCCAAGATTACAGAATACCTATCCACCTGCGTTGAACCTCAAAAAGCTGCCACCACAATCCCAGAGTAGTCTACAGTTTACTTATTCTAAGTAACACCCAATTTAGTTTCAATGTTTGTTATGCAATTTCAAAGCAAAACAAGCACTGCTCTACTCATGTAAACTGTAGTTTACCTCGCTTTTTAATCCACAAATCCTAACCAAGCCAGTTGAAAATATAGCATCCCATCTACTAAAAATGCGTTATTCAACAACTATATGGGACCGCAGACTTTAGTGGCAGTCCATTAACTGTTCATTTTCAACATTCTTATTCATTGATTGTGAGACTGGGAACTACAGTCAATGGTACAGTAGTCCATTTAACTACTTGTTTATAACATTCCTATTCATCCACTATGGGACAACATACTGAGGTAGCACTCCATTTCAATTTAACTGCTTTTTTTAATCCTCATTCAATAGCTTGCTACTGCAGACGTATTTCCTGTCATGGAGAGAAATGACAACTCAAAATATGTCTGCAGTCGCTGCAGGCTACATTCAATGACTACAAGACCACAGTGTCAATATAGTACAATGTACTGTAGTACAGCTTCTTAGTGGCCAGGTATTCTGAAATTGCTTCTAAAAAAGTGTCAAGAATTTTGCTTTTCACCAGAAAGAGTATTCAGACATTCGCATATTTAGTAATTGTGTGTTATTGGATTAAATACAAAGACATGGAACACTTTTGAATCTGTTATTCAGGAGAGCTTTTCATGGTTAGTCTGCTTCCAATCCTTACAATTTTGGAACCAACTATGTTTCTACTGGGGAGACCCCTTAATAAAGATGTCTGACTTTGGAACTTACTATTTCAATTAATTATCAATCATATTTCAAGATATTTCTTTATTCCACTGATATTAGTATTATAAAGGAAATTAAAAGGGAGATGTAAAGAATCGACCATAAGAGGACACAGAAAAATTCTGAGCCCCAGATGGGATTTGACCCACGACCCTCAGTGTTCTAGATTGGATGCTCTAACCTCTGACCTACTGAGGACTCATTGGTGAGCAAGGGTCATTTTTGTGGGTTGAACTTGTGAATCGCATCATGCGGTCACGCAGTCCATCTCAAGTGACACATTGTGACCCTTGCTCACCAACGAGTCCTCAGTAGTTCAGAGGTTAGAGCATCTGATCTAGAACACGGAGGGTCGTGGGTTCAAATCCCATCTGGGGCTCAGATTTTTTCTGTGCCCTCTTATGGTCGATTCTTTACATCTCCCTTTATTTCCTTTACATTTCTTTATTACAAGATTATTATTTTGATTTCCATCCCTTATTTTGTAACATTTGATTTTCAGATGCAGAGGAAAAAGGAAAATTCTTTGGAGAACTTCCATGCTTTCTATTCTAATCAATTTGGCGAAGACTGGCGATTAATATTTGAGGGACTAAAACTTCCAATCCAGCACTGTGCAGTGGTCAACAAGTTTGCAGCTTTGGAAGATGTTCATCAAAAGCTAACCTCAACTGAGTTACAGCTTCATAACCTATCTCTCTTTTACAGTAACTCTGAATGTGCTCAAAATCAGTTCCAACTGGATTGTTACTTCCCAAATTCAGAAAACCATATGCGATTTCCAAAGCAAGACAAAACAAACAATGGATATTTTGATTACTATCTTCTGGATGCTTCTTCAATCCTACCTGTCCTTGCTCTTGATCTCCATCCTCACAGCACAGTTCTTGACATGTGTGCTGCCCCTGGAGGGAAAAGTGTTCTTATTTCACAGTTCCTTTCAAATCAAGGTGCCCTTGTCAGTAGTGAAGTGTCAAACACACGACGAGCAAATTTAGTTAAGGTGAGTAAGCTTATCTGAGCTGATTAGTCATGTGATGCAAACTCCATGCTCTATAGAGCAAGAAAAAGGCACTATCCAGTATGGCATTTCTGTACTTCATGACTATAGATACAAATAGTTGTTTTCTGGAAATATTGCTTCACAAGCGCTGTGTTGAATTATAAAGTAAGGCTCTCCATTCTATTTTTTTCTTTGATCCTATTATACTGAATATTATTGTCCAGTAACAGATATGATAAGTGACTATATATCTCTGATTTGAGACTGATGCAATTATAGATTTTGCTAAGGCTAAAAGCAAACCTTCCTGGATGCTGAGTGGCCTAAGGGTTATTCAAACTGAACTTAAGTTTATAAGATAACTGAACTTAAGTTTATTAGATAACTTCAAGAGCATAGGCTTCTAAAATGAATGGTGAAAAAAATGTTTCTTAGTTTTAATTAACTTTTTTTTTAAGCTAAATTAAGTGCTTTTTAAATCGACAGAAATTGTAAATAGTGTTTTTGAATGAATAGTTTTTTCTTTTTTTTAAGCGAATTAATTGTAAATAGGATTTTAATAGTTTTTAAATAAAATTGTCTATTTTTATTATTATTATTATTATTATTATTATTATTATTATTATTATTATTATTAACGGTGACTGACTATCACATTTATTTTCTCTTCATTCTTTCATTCAAGGTAATAAAAGACTACATACCCAAGATTTCCAAAACTAAGGAATTAGTGCAAGTCAGAAATCTGTCTGGCTTCAAATTTGGCGAGTATGAACCAGCAACATATGACAGAGTATTGGTGGATGCGCCCTGTTCATCTGAACGTCACAATTTGCAAACACATTTTGAGTTCAGTATGTGGTCTGATGTGAGTGCGCAGGCGAACGCAAATCTCCAGAAAAAACTGCTTATGTCAGCTGTACAAACTGTGATCCCCGGTGGGACAGTGGTATATTCTACTTGTTCGATGTCATCTATTGAGAATGATGGAGTTATAGACGACGTTTTGTCGCTTTGTTCAGGGAGCAAACAACTAAAAGTTAACGTCGTGGACTCACATTTTTCAAATCATCCGTTGGCAGAAATGTTTAATTACGTGGAAACGAAACATGGAATCCTCGTATTGCCTTCCCATACTAGGAACTGGGGTCCAATGTATTTTTGTAAGCTTCAGCGTTTTTCTGTGGAATCTGATTCTGCTTTACAAAGTAAACGCTTCGTAGTTTAAAACATTCACCTTCCAAGCTGCGGCTAAAGGAGGATCATAAGGTTATCTCCTTATTAAGATCTCTCGTTACAGATAACCCACGCAGCTCAGGAAAGGTTAGCCACAGCAGCGGGGTCTATCTCCCCTACTCTTTTCAAAGAGTGGTGTTTTAAAAGTAGGTTGAGTTTGATCGTCCGGGTGAACGTAGTCCTGAATAGCACTGTTGTTGTTGACAGGGACTGACTTTTCGACAACCTGTTCGGTCGTCATCTTCAGAGTCAAAGTCTCTGACAGAGAGACTTCAGAGACTTCAGAGTCTTTGACTGTGAAGATGACTACCGCACAGGTTGTCGAAACGTCAGTCACCGTCAAAACAACAGTCCTATTCAGGACTACGTTCACGAGGACTATCAAACTCAACCTACTTTTGAAATGACTCCTGGGTTCAAACTTCTCACAGTGGTGTTTTACATCCCACGAGAGCCAGACAAGTGAAAGTGCCGTGAGACGCCGGGGACCTACAGTTTTTCGTCATCATCCGAGAAGAACCGTTTGCAGATGTCATTACAAGGCAGCACTTAAAGACCCTGAGTGTTGTTCCTGCCAGGGTTTGAACCCCCGACCTTCCGCTCAGCAGACAGGCGCTCTCCCAACTGAGCTAACCAGGCGGTGCTTAATGCTTCCTTCCAATAGACAAGGTAGATATGAATACATGAAACTGTAATGAAGTCCTTGACGTTTAAATGTATTACTACACAAATCAACTTACTGTTGACTAAAATTTTCGCTGCAGAGCGGTTGTCTACGAGAACAAAGAACAGTTTTTGCAACTAAAGCAAATTAAAAAGTATTTAGCCCGAATGGGACTAATTGGGAACACCAGATAAACCTTATGTATACCTAAATACTAAAATGTTGAGACAAAGCGAATATTTACCATGATGCTAAAATACTTAAGAGATTTAAAATGCAAGACATTTAATAGCAGTAGGGAGCTTTAGCATGGACGACAGCGACTGCAGCGAAAACGTCAGTTTTAAAATGAATTCCCGTTTTTTCAATCTTTGTCGCGTTTATTCCAATTTGCTGAAAATGGCAAGTGTAGGCGAATTTCCCTGGAGTTGATTTCTTGAGGACCGCTCTCAAGTTTAGAGAGAGAGAGAAAGAGATTCATCGTCGCTTGTTTACGTCCTCCATAAAACTTGCAATTAGGCATTTTTACGTCGTAGTCGTGCAAGGACGGTAAAGAAATGTACAAAATAGGGGGTTTTGCACGTTCAAAGTTGTTGTTTTGCATCATAAACCTATTGCTTTTTTGACATCCTCTTTGCCGTCGTCGTTGCTAAAGCTCCCTATTGTTAACTATATAAGAAAAAAAGAAAAAAACTTTACGTAACATATTCACAATTAAGTCCGCCCACATTGGTCAGCTCTGGTGTTGATCGAAGCTGAACATTAACGGACAGCTCGATTACTATTTTATGGACACTAAAGGACCAAGTAAAAGTTAGGCGAAAAAGAAAAGACCCTTGCCATCGATTGATGAAGCAGCCGCAGCGGCGGTAGCCCAGCTTCTCATTAGCGGTACTTGATCTAAAAATATACGAAAATGTCCCTGATTTTGTACCATGGTTTTCCACATGAGGTGCCAGTAAAAATCCCCGCCTTCTGTTCCGTCAAATTTCTTCTCAGGACAACCGTGGCGTAACGTACTCTTCGATCAGGGTTGTCCCAAAAATTCGTTCGATCGTTGTCACATCTTCTCGGATCGCCATCAAATGAGTGTGCTGTGGTATAATTGAGAGTTTTGTTAAATTTCTACGTTTCATAAAATTAATATTTTTGCGAGTGAATAATATACGCTTCCAGATAACAGCTGTTAATGTCAGGCTAAAACATTAGAGAGGTTAAGCATCACGTTTACGTCAAACGGCAAACGCGACTTTGTACCACGTGACCAAGTTTCCCCCCTTACTTGTCGTTTACTGTTCATTATATCTACACATAAATTAGTAGTTTATCACGCAATTTTTTATCCACAAGAATTGTTGTGAGCTGTTTTTATCTGCTCATTTTCTATTATGAAAAATTCTCAACTTGAATCTGACGTTTGCCCTTTGCAGTATACGTGAAGCTTAATTTCTCCATTGGCGGTAGAGGTAAAGAGGTAGGGCCGTATTATGATGTCAGAATAAACCAGTTTATGTACCTTAAAATGAAATTTTCGCGTCACTTTAATTTTTTTTGTCGTGAATAACGAGACGCCAAAATTAAGTGAAAAGATGAGAGAAAAAGGGAATTACAAGTGGGAGTTACCTGGGAGTAGAGTGTTATCTCCAGTTGATCTTTCTCAAGACATTGTATAAATAACTTGTGAGGCTTACTTATAGTGGGTATCGTGGATAATTCACGCCTATGCATAATTTTTTTTTAGTTTTGACATAATAACAAATGCAGGTTATCGTTATATTTGATTAAATAAAAAGTTAAATTAATTGTGTCTTACTCAAAAACGAGAAATTAAAAGGACTCTCATTCCAAAGTTTTTGCAAAATCGAACGTGTCTCAAAAATTTCATGTAATAAGGTAAAAGGTTTTACCATTAGGTCATTAGTTCTCGTTACGTAGATCTGATTGACAATTGCCTCGTTTTTTCCATAAGCTTTTAAAGCGGATCATTTAGCTCTGTCCTTTTTGTCGTCGTGTTAAGCCACGTGCAAACGGACGAAACATTGTTGGCCAACAACTCCCAACATTGTTGGATGTTACATGTTGCGTCCGTTTGCACACCCTGTTGCATGTTGTTGGATGTTGTTGCGTGTTGTTGCGCAAAGTTTGAAACCGGTCAAACTTTTCAGCCAGCAACTCCCAACATTTGTTTTGTTCCGTGATCGCCGAAGCGTAGCGCAACAATGTTGGATCCGTTGCACGGCTCTTCCAACATTGTTGGGGCCACGCACGCTAATTACGCATGGTTTACAAAGACTAATGGGTTGTATCCTTTGCCACGATGCACTGCAGGTCCCAGCATTGTTGGGACTGAGTTGTTGCATCCGTTTGCACACCACTGCCAACATGCACGCAACAACTCCTAACATTGTTGGCGCAACAATGTTGGGAGTTGTTGCGTCCGTTTGCACGCAGCCTTAAGGAAGTTTGATTCATTGTATGTATGATCAGTTACTCACAGTCTCCTCCCATGTAGTACTGATTAGTGATGAAATCTCCTTCAGAGGCGTTAAAAGGATGTACACCTGTTGGATGATTACTCACAGAATCTCGACCATACCTTAAATCGTTACAAAAAAAAAACTGTGAAAGGCATAGAGGCAAACCACAGTCACTGCCTAATCATTACAAAATCATGTACAAGTTTTCAAATTTAGCCAGTCTAAGCAATATTTTGTTCAGAACAAGGGATCTTGAGAAGAAAGGTGATCGATCAGTCGCAGTCTCGTGAGAAAACCTAGTCTGTGAGCCAGTCTGCTTAGGCAGAAAACAGCAAGGTTATTTAAAACAGATTTTAGCCAGTGTCAAGCGAAACCACGAGTTTTTACTTGGCTTACCCGTACATTTAAGAACTGCTTACGGGCAGTGTCAAGGGATGATAGTAAAAAACGACCAACGAGAAGAGGGGACGAACGAGCACGGTGAACGAAGCAGAGAATGAGGCTAGGGGTTAAGATAGGTTTCCATCCTTTCTTTTTTTTTTTTTTTTTTCATTTTTTCGTTCCCTTTACTCGTTGCCCGTTGCCCCTTCCCCCCCTCGCTCTGAAAATCCAGTGTTAAGGGGGAGTGTTGTAAGGCTAATAAAAACATTAATAAACAACTCTGAAGGTTCTTTGTTCTAAAACCGTTCCTTAAAGTTAAATCAATACTAGCAAAATATGTTATTTTAGTGAAATAATTAAGCAAGACACGGGATTTAACATGAGATACCAAAAAAAATAAAAAGCTTTTACAGGCGGTAGACAGGGGGAGAAGAAAAAAATCTCCTAGCTTGAGGGGGGAAGAAAGGAGAAGGTGGAGGGAGGGGGGAATGGGGCGAGGGGTTAAAAAAGGGTTCCCACCCTTCTTTTTTTTTTTTTTTTTTCATTTTGTCGTTCCCTGTACTCGTTGCCCGTTGCCCCTTCCCCACCTCGCTCTGAAAATCCAGTGTTAAGGGGGAGTGTAGTAAAGGCTAATAAAAACATTAATAAACAACTCTGAAGGTTCATTGATCTAAAACCGTTCCTGAAAGTTATATCAATACTAGAGAACTATGTTATTTTAGTGAAATAATGCCATGACAAAAATAATTGAGATTACCAAGGTCTCCCTGATTATATAAAAAAAAAACTACCAGTTATCCCCAAATATGCTCCAGCATGACGCAACACCACGGAATTCTTGTGTGTACTTAATTTTCCTCCAGTATCCTTCGATCAACGTTAAAGCTCCTGACTGTTTCCCGCCGCATCCATTTGACGTCGCTTGACCAAATATGGCGAGCCCGTTGTTTTCATCACTGTAGGTAATCGTCACTCCCCCACGAAAAGTATATGCTTGAGCCGTGACTTTTTTCCATTCTAATTATTCAAAAAAAAAACTATATAATTGAGAACTAAAAAGTTATTTACCTGAAATTAAAAAAGAAAACAATACCCTGGTCTCAGAGGTACAAATCAAGAAAAGCCTCTGGGACCAGGGTAGACAGCCAGCCAGATGCCACAGATGATACAGCACAACAGAATAGGTCTGGATTAAAAATACTTACAAAAGTAAGTAGTTAAGATTAATAGCTTTTACCAAGCTGATTTAAAAAAACCTTTAATTTGCAACGTTCAGATTCAACTCAATGTCAAGAATAAATACAATGATATTTGTATATATAACAGCAAAGCAAGATTAGATTATCCTAATCCGACTTAGATATATTGAATATGAAACGCATTTTTTTCTCTACCGCTTTGGTCTTATGAAAACGATTGACAGTTACAGTTATTTACCTGACGCAATAAAAAGTTAAACACTATCATTTTCTTGCTAAAGTTACTTTTTTAAGAACGAAACTCACGTCCGACCGCTGACATGTCACAGTATCCCTGGAAACTGTCACTTGAGCCTTCAGGCCTTATCCAGTAAATTCCACTGTTAAATTCTCCGCTGTCCTTGATGTCTTTGCATGACAGAGCGACCCGGTAGCGAAGGAGATAATCCTTTCTTGCCTTAGGAAAAGACATAACGCAACGTGCGAAGCTTAAAAATAAGCGTTTGCCTTTATGCCAAGTTGGAAAAGAAATAGCGCTCAAGCGAGGGCATGTGATTTAAGTTTTGGTGCACCCATATGGCCGCCGGAAATCAACAAAAACATCTGGAGTTCACTTTTTCTATAAATTGAAGCTCCTTCTTTTCAGTCAAGAACTAGCATACGTACGCATAAACATATCTTCTAATACGTGAAATGTATGGTTATACTGCTGAAAATCAAGAAGAGAGACTCTTTTTCAGCAGAGACAGCATTCCTATCTTGGTGTCACGCACTGTGAAAACTCGGAAGTTCAAATTGCTGTATTTTCGAAATGAAACAAGCTATGGGAATGGAAAGTTGTATAAAGATTTACTTTTTGGTTATCTTCAACCTAGTGCAAATAAGAATTCGTGAAACCTCGCTATTTTGAAGCTTTGAAAGTAGACTATCATCGGCGGTTCAATCGGCACATCTAGACAGAACTATTTTGTTCAGTTCTTTCCTTCCTTTAGATTTCTAGTTACCAGGGTTCTGTTGCACTTATTTTAGTCTTCATCTCATCCTTGGAAACTCAAGAGCGACTTTAGTCAGGACCACAGGATTTTCATGGGTGAAAGTTTAGCTAAGTTTGCAACAAGTACTGACTTGAATTAATTCGGTCTTACCGACCCAGTTGCTGCTCCTGGGTCTCTTAAGATGTCCTTGTTCTTACCTTGGCAAGTGGCTACAGCTTCTCTAACAAATTCATCCATTAATATCCTGGCTCTTTCCTGCTTTCTGTTTATTTCGATCTTTTTTTGGTTTATGTAATTGGAGGAATCTGCAATCATTTTTAATAGCATTTTTAATTGGCTTCCGTTTACAGTGGAACCTCTATGCATGTAACGAACCTCTATATAACGAAGTCCTCGGTACAATGAATGATTTTCTTTACCCCAGTAATAGTAAAATATATGGAAAAGAACCTCGATAACAAAACCTCGTTATAGCGGACAAATTTTGCCAGTCCCTTCAACCCTTCGTTATACTGGCGAGGTTCCACTGTACAGAAGAAAATTTGCTCAGTCATTACCTTCAAGGCTCAGAGCCATTTGTTCTTTTAAGAGCGCATAGAACATAAAAAGAACAGTTACAATTGTTTTCATAACATCCATCTTTCAATCTGCGAGAAAAAGACAGTGCCACAGTATGAGTTTTTTTAAGCTACAACTCGTAGACAAAAAGAAGCAAAAAACAGTATCCGTTAGGATTATAATATTGTGATGATGAAAAGCAGCGATAGGCGCTGCCGTTCAAAACTATATTATAACGAATTAGCTAGAAGTTGGGGGGAAGTTTACAAACATGCAATATCCTGCCCAGCCTCATTTTAACGGGTCTTAACTGTAAACAAAGTTGGAGCCAAGTGTTTTCGTTAAGTGCATCAATTCAAAGCTACCTATTTGTGTTACCATCATAAAAATAAAAGAGGGAACTGAAACTACATCAATCCGCTGATTTAGACAGGTGGAAAAGCTCTTTCTTGCTCACAAATGGGAACAAATTAGAGTCTCGCCAAATTTTCGAACTTAAAAGTTCTCACCGTCTCGTTTTTTTCAAACGCTTGTATAGTTCTCTTACTCTCGATTTTCTTCCACAAAGTCCGGCCTTGGTTCCGAATCTCGGTTTCAGGTAATTAGAGTCTTGAAATCCCACGTAATTTGTTTTTGTACAGAAATAGTATGAAAGAAATGACGGCATGCATCCGAGCCTAGATGCTCTCATACATGTTTCTTCTCATTAAGAGAAAGAACAAACATTTGATCTTAATTAACCAGAAGCATAGTACATAATTCAGAGGCGCATTTCACTTTCAACGGAGCAATTTCAAATCGTTCAAACAAACCGAGACATTTCAGACAAATGCGGTAATTGCAGCGGGTAATTAAAAGCCTTAAGAAAATCGCTGCTTTGCTCCTTTTCATTTGTCATTATCAAAAATGACACTTTTATCTTAATTTACTTCATTAAACTGAAAATTGCGAAGAAACGTTATCTATAACAGGCAAAAATATTAGCTTAGATTCATCAGATTCTTGGCCTTTTTTGAATTTCTAGATTATTCAAGCTTAGAAACGGACTTTTCATTCCAATTTCATGCAGGAAGGTTTTAATTAAAGGTTTAAGAGGACGGCATTTTCAACCGGGGTCTTTTTCAGAGTAAAATCAGAAATTTTGCAGAATCCTTTTTCCACATACCAGTTAATTTTGTAATTTATTAAAAAAAAAAAAAAAATCAGCAAACGTTTATATCCATATATGATTTCACCACTCAAATTTTTCACCACTCTGGTCGTTGAAGTGATTACCAAATAATATTTTCCATAAAAAACACTCCGCTCATCGCAGCGTTTTAATTTCAGCAAAGGGAATTCAGTCTCTCAAAAAACAACTGCTGCTAATGACAGTGTTATAGAACACCTGCATGAATACATGCTTTTAGCGGGGCCTATATCGAGCAATGTTTGGAGCAAACTAGAGTTGTCAACGCCTTGTCCTCAAAATTTTATCGTGCTACGTAAGTTGATGATGTACTAAAATTAAGCGTTAAAGGATTATCGTTAATTTTGGGTGACTTTTGGCACTGAAAAGGCTTAATCAAGTTAAACCTGTAAAGGGACACTGTTTTTGTACCCCTTCTTATTATTTTTCTAAATAAGTAAAAAACACAAAATATCAGACTTGCCACAAGTCGATAAGCAGGCTAAGTAAGTTATCAAATAAACTAAATCTGATTTTCATATAGGTTTTAAGTTCTTTTTACAAACATTCTTTTTTCATGACTATACATTGACTTTAGTGCAATGAAACCGGGATCTGTCAGCTAACACAGAATAAAAAGCTCCTGACAAGAGTTCCTTCTAAGATGTCCTACAATATTTGGCTGCATTGTAAATTACACCACAACCAGAGCCCTTATATTAAAAAGACGATCTTCCGAAGTTCATTGTACAATGTCCACAGATTATCTTTCAATTCTGGCCTGTGCAATTTGTCTTGCTTCATAACAAAGGCATCTTCTAGTGACATGATCTTCTCTTGCAGGCTCTGTAGAAAAACGAAATTGATCATATGTCTAATAAAAAAATAAGTATAATGTCTCAAACAAACAGCATATTTTTTTCGGTGTTTAAAACTTAAATTAGAAAGGATTCTTCTTGTGTCAAGAAGAAAAGGAATAACGAGTAGTTTCATACAGTAATAACGAAATAAGATTATACTGAAATGCTTTGACAGATATGGCAATTTTCACAAAATGGAAGCTCAATTATCATTATGCAGATTGGCCATGTTTGGGGGATTGAAAAGCTAACGTGTTTCGAGGGCTAAACCTTTGTCAACTCAGTCCATAAAACCAAATCTTTGTATTTCAGTCCCCCACCGACGCGACACCACAGTTTAATTTGAAACTTAACCCTTCATTTATCAGTTATTTATAACAACAGCCTGGCTACTCCCAATTTTCCTCAGTTTCGGATTTTTACTTAACCCTTGCTGAGTTTAACTTCCCTACATCAGAGCTCTACTCAAGACTTTTCTCCGGTCAAATGCAATGAATGACGGAGACCTTACTGGTGAAACCTCCCCTCTAGGTATTCGAAAGTAGAAAGGGTCTCCAAGGATGACCTAAGGTTTGAATATGTGTTTGTTCTGTTTTGCTCCAATAAGGTGTATGACTGTCTTCCCGAACGAGTAAAATGGGCCTTTTGTCCCCGCTCACGATTACCCTCGTTGTTTCCTAAAAATTAAATTTTCCCCAATATCCAACCATAATAACTTCGCACTTCAAAGTTTTTTTTTTTTTTCACACTGCACTAAATCCATGTATTCGTTTTCTGTTATAACTGTACCTGTAATTTTTCCAGTGCCTTCTGAAGATCATTTACTTGCAGTTGAGTCGTTCTTGTCTCACGTGTTATCACAGGCTAAAATAGAATTAAGAAATTTCGTCAAAATTTAACAACACCACGAAAAACAAAAACAAAACAATAAAGTGCAACCTCTTAAAAGAGATTTGTAACCTTTCAGGGTTTATTTTAGCACGGATAAAGCAGTGTGGTTGTTAAAGCTAAGTAAAGATCAGACAGTTCCACTTTGAAAGCAAACCCCGACAATTACTAGATTGCTTGGAAAACAATCTTAAAGACCAAGGACTAGTCTGTGGAAAGTGTAGGTCAGTAGATACTGCTATAAGAAAGGGTCGTCTGAAACGGGAGGGTAATACTCTGTAATACTGATCCATTGTTTATGAAATTCTACTTTAGGGCCTGTTTACATGGAGGTGGGGGACCACGGGTAGGTGAGGTAACATGTGGCGTGTCACCCCACCTATCATGTAAACGTGATCAAATTAAAATGAGAGATTATATGGACAAGCGGGTTACCCCACCTAAGCGGGTTACCTCACCTACCTGGGGTCCCCACCTTCATGTAAACAGGCCCTTAGTAAGCTATTTACGACACCCCTTTCTAGGATCCGCTTAACGTAGCAAAAAACAACAACAACAACAACAACAAAAGCCAGTTCAGTTTTCGGCGATTTGCTTGAATTCTAAAAAAGGCGTTGACTTGGTTGAAGATAGTTCTAGCACAAAATGATTTGATATTCAAGACTAAAAAGATCATGATCAATAGTCACACTACATAGCTGACTAAAAAACCAAAGCTAGCTTACCTTTAATCGTGTTAAAACTGCTTCATGCATACGGCACAGAAGATGAACCGACGAACAGTGGATTGCTAATTCCAGAGGAGGGTTATCAGCTGAAGATATACCGCCAGATAAAGGTTTTACCTGTACAGTTACACGGCTTCCATTCACAGAGAGCACATCGATACATGAATATCCAGTATTAATCTGTTGTTCCGGGAGACTTGAATCTTCGAAGATGAAACGTAAAA